TGAAGAGAGTTGAAAGGAGTTGAAAGGATTTGAATTAGGAGTTGAAAGGAGTTGAAAGGAGCTGAAGAGAGTTGAAAGGATTTGAAAGGAGTTGAAAGGAGTTGAAAGGAGTTGAAAGGAGTTGAAAGGAGTTGAAAGGAGTTGAAAGGAGTTGAAAGGAGTTGAAAGGAGTTGAAAGGAGTTGAAAGGAGTTGAAAGGAGTTGAAAGGAGTTGAAAGGAGGTGAAAGGAGTTGAAAGGAGTTGAAAGGAGTTGAAAGGAGTTGAGAGGAGCTGAAGAGAGTTGAAAGGAGTTGAAAGGAGCTGAAAGAGAGTTGAAAGGAGCTTGAAAGGAGCTTGAAAGGAGTTGAAAGGAGTTGAAAGGAGCTGAAGAGAGTTGAAAGGAGCTGAAAGGAGTTGAAAGGAGCTGGAGAGAGTTGAAAGGAGTTGAAAGGAGCTGAAAGGAGTTGAAAGGAGCTGAAAGGAGTTGAAAGGAGCTGAAGAGAGTTGAAAGGATTGAAAGGAGTTGAAAGGAGTTGAAAGGAGTTGAAAGGAGTTGAAAGGAGTTGAAAGGAGTCGAAAGGAGTTGAAAGGAGAAAGGAGTTGAAAGGAGCTGAAGAGAGTTGAAAGGAGTTGAAAGGAGTTGAAAGGAGTTGAAAGGAGTGAAAGGAGTTGAAAGGAGTTGAAAGGAGTTGAAAGGAGTTGAAGGAGCTGAAGAGAGTTGAAAGGAGCTGAAGAGTGAAAGGAGTTGAAAGGAGTTGAAAGGAGTTGAAAGGAGCTGAAGAGAGTTGAAAGGATTTGAAAGGCGTTGAAAGGAGTTGAAAGGAGTTGAAATAGCTGAAGAGAGTTGAAAGGAGTTGAAAGGAGTTGAAAGGAGTTGAAAGGAGTTGAAGAGAGTTGAAAGGAGCTTGAAAGGAGTTGAAAGGAGCTGAAGAGAGTTGAAAGGAGCTGAAAGGAGCTGAAGAGAGTTGAAAGGAGTTGAAAGGAGTTGAAGGAGCTGAAGAGAGCTGAAAGGAGTTGAAAGGAGTTGAAGAAGTTGAAAGGAGCTGAAGGAGTTGAAAGGAGCTGAAAGGAGTTGAAAGCTGAAGAGAGTTGAAAGGAGTTGAACTGAAAGGAGTGAAGTTGAAAGGAGTTGAAAGGAGTTGAAAGGAGCGGAAGAGAGTTGAAAGGAGAAAGTTGAAAGGAGTTGAAAGGAGTTGAAATAGCTGAAGAGAGTTGAAAGGAGCTGAAGAGAGTTGAAAGGATGAAAGAGGAGTTTCGAAAGGAGTGAAAGGAGTTGAAGGAGTTGAAAGGAGTTGAAGAGAGTTGAAAGGAGCTGAAGAGAGTTGAAAGGAGTTGAAAGGAGCTGAAGAGAGTTGAAAGGAGCTGAAAGAGTTGAAGGAGTTGAAAGGAGCTGAAAGGAGCTGAAGAGAGTTGAAAGGAGCTGAAAGGAGCTAAAGGAGCTGAAAGGAGCTGAAAGGAGTTGAAAGGAGCTGAAGAGAGTTGAAAGGAGTTGAAAGGAGTTGAAACTGAGTTGAAAGGAGCTGAAAGGAGCTGAAGAGAGTTGAAAGGAGCTTGAAAGGAGTTGAAAGGAGCTGAAAGGAGCTGAAGAGAGTTGAAAGGAGCTGAAAGGAGTTGAAGAGAGTTGAAAGGAGCTGAAAGGAGCTGAAGAGAGTTGAAAGGAGTTGAAAGTAGCTGAAGGAGAGTTGAAAGGAGTTGAAAGGAGTTGAAAGGAGCTGAAGGGAGCTGAAGAGAGTTGAAAGGAGTTGAAAGGAAAGGAGTTGAAAGGAGCTGAAGAGAGTTGAAAGGAGTTGAAAGGAGTTGAAAGGAGTTGAAAGGAGTTGAAAGGAGCTGAAGAGAGTTGAAAGGAGTTGAAAGGAGTTGAAAGGAGCTGAAGAGAGCTGAAAGGAGTTGAAAGGAGCTGAAGAGAGTTGAAAGGAGTTGAAAGGAGCTGAAGAGAGTTAAAAGGAGTTGAAAGGAGCTGAAGAGAGTTGAAAGGATTTGAAAGGAGCTGAAGAGAGTTGAAAGGAGTTGAAAGGATTTGAATTAGGAGTTGAAAGGAGTTGAAAGGAGCTGAAGAGAGTTGAAAGGATTTGAAAGGAGTTGAAAGGAGTTGAAAGGAGTTGAAAGGAGTTGAAAGGAGTTGAAGAGAGTTGAAAAGGAGTTGAAAAGGAGTTGAAAGGAGTTGAAAGGAGTTGAAAGGAGTTGAAAGGAGTTGAAAGGAGTTGAAAGGAGTTGAAAGGAGAGAGTTGAAAGGAGTTGAAAGGAGTTGAAAGGAGTTGAAAGGAGCTGAAGAGAGTTGAAAGGAGTTGAAAGGAGCTGAAGAGAGTTGAAAGGATTTGAAAGGAGTTGAAAGGAGTTGAAAGGAGTTGAAAGGAGTTGAAAGGAGTTTTAAAGGAGTTGAGGAAAGGAGTTGAAAGGAGTTGAAAGGAGTTGAAAGGAGCTGAGAGTTGAAAGGAGTTGAAAGGAGTTGAAAGGAGTTGAAAGGAGCTGAATTAATATAGTTCAAAGGAGTTGAAAGGAGCTGAAGGAGAGTTGAAAGGAGTTGAAAGGAGTTGAAAGGAGCTGAAAGGAGCTGAAGAGAGTTGAAAGGAGTTGAAAGGAGTTGAAAGGAGTTGAAAGGAGCTGAAGAGAGTTGAAAGGAGTTGAAAGGATTTGAAAGGAGCTGAAGAGAGTTAAAAGGAGTTGAAAGGAGTTAAAAGGAGTTGAAAGGATTTGGAAGGAGTTGAAAGGAGCTGAAGAGAGTTGAAAGGAGTTGAAAGGAGTTGAAAGGAGTTGAAAAGAGCTGAAGAGAGTTGAAAGGAGTTGAAAGGAGTTGAAAGGAGCTGAAGAGAGTTGAAAGGAGTTGAAAGGAGTTGAAAGGAGTTGAAAGGAGTTGAGAGGAGCTGAAGAGAGTTGAAAGGAGTTGAAAGGAGTTGAAAGGAGTTGAAAGGAGCTGAAGAGAGTTGAAAGGAGTTGAAAGGAGTTGAAAGGAGTTGAAAGGAGCTGAAGAGAGTTGAAAGGAGTTGAACGGAGTTGAAAGGAGCTGAAGAGAGTTGAAAGGAGTTGAAAGGAGTTGAAAGGAGTTGAAAGGAGCTGAAGAGAGTTGAAAGGAGTTGAAAGGAGCTGAAGAGAGTTGAAAGGATTTGAAAGGATTTGAAAGGGGTTGTAAAAGGAGTCAAAGGAGTTGAAACGAGTTGAAAGGAGTTGAAAGGAGTTGAAAGGATTTGAAAGGATTTGAAATGGGTCGTATAAGGAGTCAAAGGAGTTGAAAGGAGTTGAATGGATTTGAAAGGGGTCGTATAAGGAGGTGAAAGGGGCTGAAAGGAGTTGAAAGGAGTTGGAAGGATTTGAAAGGGGTCGTATAAGGAGTCAAAGGAGTTGAAAGGAGTTGAAAGTAGCCGAAAGGAGTTGAAAGGGGTCGTATAAGGAGTCAAAGGAGTTGAAAGGATTTGAAAGGATTTGAAAGGGGTCGTATGAGGAGTCAAAGGAGTTGAAAGGAGTTGAATGGAGTTGAAAGGAGTTGAAAGGGGTTGTATAAGGAGTCAAAGGAGTTGAAAGGAGTTGAAAGGATTTGAAAGGGGTCGTATAAGGTGTCAAAGGAGTTGAAAGGAGTTGAAAGGATTTGAAAGGGGTCGTATAAGGAGTCAAAGGAGTTGAAAGGAGTTGAAAGGTGTTGAAAGGATTTGACAGGGGTCGTATAAGGAGTCAAAGGAGTTGAAAGGAGTTGAAAGGATTTGAAAGGGGTCGTATCAGGAGTCATAGGAGTTGAAAGGAGTTGAGAGGATTTGAAAGGGGTCGTATAAGGAGTCAAAGGAGTTGAAAGGAGTTGAAAGGATTTGAAAGGATTTGAAAGGGGTCGTATCAGGAGTCAAAGGAGTTGAAAGGAGTTGAAAGGACTTGAAAGGACTTGAAAGGACTTGAAAGGGGTCGTATAAGGAGTCAAAGGAGTTGAAAGGAGTTGACAGGGGTCGTATAAGGAGTCAAAGGAGTTGAAAGGATTTGAAAGGGGTCGTATCAGGAGTCATAGGAGTTGAAAGGAGCTGAGAGGATTTGAAAGGGGTCGTATAAGGAGTCAAAGGAGTTGAAAGGAGTTGAAAGGATTTGAAAGGGGTCGTATAAGGAGTCAAAGGAGTTGAAAGGAGTTGAAAGGATTTGAAAGGGGTCGTATAAGGTCAAAGGAGTTGAAAGGAGTTGACAGGAGTTGAAAGGGGTCGTATAAGGAGTCAAAGGAGTTGAAAGGAGTTGAAAGGATTTGAAAGAGGTCGTATCAGGAGTCATAGGAGTTGAAAGGAGTTGAGAGGATTTGAAAGGGGTCGTATAAGGAGTCAAAGGAGTTGAAAGGAGTTGAAAGGATTTGAAAGGGGTCGTATCAGGAGTCAAAGGAGTTGAAAGGAGTTGAAAGGACTTGAAAGGACTTGAAAGGGGTTGTATAAGGAGTCAAAGGAGTTGAAAGGAGTTGACAGGGGTCGTATAAGGAGTCAAAGGAGTTGAAAGGAGTTGAAAGGATTTGAAAGGGGTCGTATCAGGAGTCATAGGAGTTGAAAGGAGCTGAGAGGATTTGAAAGGGGTCGTATAAGGAGTCAAAGGAGTTGAAAGGATTTGAAAGGGGTCGTATCAGGACCGTCAAAGGAGTTGAAAGGAGTTGACAGGATTTGAAAGGGGTCGTATAAGGAGTCAAAGGAGTTGAAAGGACTTGAAAGGACTTGAAAGGACTTGAAAGGAGTTGAGGCATTTTGCAGTCATCTTTGTTTCCTGACATGCTGGACGTGCCAAGTGAAGTACTGTGCAATATGACTGCCTTTCTAAGATATGCAGTATGTGATGACTATGGAGTAGCAAAGTGCAGTTGCTGATCCAAACCAGTTTTCCTCCTTGCACCAGTTGGTTAATGAAGCGACATTTCCTGGTAAATGCTCGAGAAAAGAGAGCGTCAATCTTCACAAATGCAGTTTGGCGTGAGGTTTCAATATTTCCAGCGGATTCAAAGTGCTCCACGGTCTTCACAGGATTCTAATAGCGTCCACAGTCACAGGATCTTCACATTTCAATTTCAGTCCCGGACTCAGAGCGTCCACCAGGTGCAGCTGCGGCTGCACCAGCCTCATCGCTGAGCGATTTCACCGATTGCAGCGATTTCGGCCCATAAGTCATCTGATCTAAAAAACCTTAGGGTATTTCATGGCCTTTCAGGGCCTTTCATTGCTGTGCGCATCGGGCACCATGTCACTATGTCACTATACGCCATAGTACATTTTATGTATTGCTGTATTCGTTGCTGTACGCAGCAATGTATTACTCCGTTGTGATAATAACCCCTGACACAGTGAGCGAATAGCTGATGTGGATTGGTGTTGTTGTCACATCGTGTCTCTTCATCCTTTTGAAAAACATTGCGGTTTGGTAGCAAAAATGTTTAAATCATTTTTGCCGCAAGAATGAACAAATTTTACTCTAGTTGCTATAGTTATTTTTCTTCGAGTGAAGCGACCGCTTCTGTATTTTTCCGTTTGAGTCGAATGCGCCGGAAAACAAGGAAAACTCCGACTCCCAGGACTCTGAGGACTCTGAACTCGCAGAGATTTTGTTTAACTTTTTTACTATGACAACTCACAACGTTTGACTTGGTCTTTGACTCGGTATTTGACTCGGTCTCGTTCCAAGGATTCGATGGGCCTTTGAGCCTTTGAGCCTTTGAGCCTTTGAGCCTCGCGCATATCCATCGTCTGTTGCGGAACTTGTGCCGTTCCGCAGATGTGGAGGAACCTCTGACAGCAATGACAGAATGCAAAAATCAGGACGAAGGTTAAAGGGGGTGTCAACATGACGGAAGGATAAGAATGAAAACCTGAAAACAACCATGTTCATTGTATTTCATTGTTTTCATTCTAACACAGTAAATGTTTGGTTTTCAAAAAAATGATTCCATACACCCTAATCGATTTTGACTCTCGCAACCGACGTGGCTCATGAAATGAATGTTGCAAGCGTTACCACATCAAAGGGGTTGTCTGTACCATGCAGGTTGGATTGATTCCTACAGTTTTGCTGGTAAAATCCTTCCAAAAACCAACCTATGTTGTCGATTATTCATTAATCGAAAAATTCTGAATCAAACAAATATATACTGCATATATACTGCATATTGATGCATATTGATGCATATTGCCATTCAAATTTGTGTTTTGGCATTCGTGGTTCAGTGTCGACATGTTTTCACAGGACCGGTTTTGCACCGGGCACAATTTTGGTGCAAATCTGAGGCCTCAACGTACTTTCCTACCATCGGAGCGTATTGACACACCTTGGATGCGAGGCGAAACACAAAAACAATGGCAGACAAGGTTGCAACAATGTTGCAATACGAAGCACAAATGCCAATACGCTGCAGACGTTGCAATCACGCAGACGATATCTGCACGATCGTTGTTTCATTCGCTCAAAAGTACAATGAACGAAAATGCTGGTATGGCCGGTATTTTAGGCGTAAAGATTTAGACAACCATTTGGATCATTCGTAGTTCAGCCCTGGCACCGCTTCCGGTAATTTGGGTTCAGAAACAGCTGAGCCAAAACGGTGAGTCGCGAAGTCACTTAAACTGAGTCCAATATTTTAGGGGGCAACAACAAAAAATCAACGTTCTGGGCAATTGATGGAATGTGCTAAATGCATGCAAACGCACCATCACCATCCCATCATGAATCACGTCGAGAGTTGGAAACATCAATCACTGACGTTGGTTGTGCTGATTTGTACAAACACACGTATTTCATTACCCGACATGACTGCGTCTCGGAAATCGAAATGTACTTGCAACAGGGCGTGTTGGAAGAAATGTGTTTCGACCAACCATGGCCTGATCCTGACGCGGGCAATTTTATTAGCCAAAACACATTTTTGGTTTGCATTGTTGTCGCTTCATGGACTTGCAACTGTGGATATTCGCAAATACACCAGCAAAAATGCAAAGACTCAGGCGAAAACGCTGCAGTCTATTTTCACTCGTGCCAAAAGGGTCTCACAAGTTTCAACTGCACATGCTGTTCATGTCAGTCTATGAAGTGAAATGACAAATGCAACTCTCTTATCGATTTGTGCGTGTCATCCTGGCACATGTGAGTGGGCTCCACAACTTTCCACACTCCTCCTTTGTGGTTTGAGCGTGGCTCATTCCACAACTCCAAAATTTTCACCTCTCAACGCAAATTTCAGCTCTGCTGTCTGACTCTGCATCATCCAGTGAAAATGTTTTCGAATTCAATCTTTCAAATCATCAAGCTCTGCATGTCTTCGACATAGAGCCTAAACCTGTCTCGGCGTTCATCATCTCCTCTGTTACGGTGAAAACGATATAGCCTCTGGAATATGTTTCTGATCTCATTTGAAATTCTTGTACTGAATCCCTCTGTTAGAGTGGAATCTAGCACCAGACAAATTGCCTGCTGAATCATGTTGGCCTCCTGCCAGCGTTCTGCTGCAAGAGCTTGATTTTGATCTACCCTCATGTTCTGTAAGAGGGCTTCCATTCCAGTAGGTCTATTGGATTGGTTGTCCTCCACATCTGTTGTCGGACTTTCTTCTTCTCCTCCTTCGTGATCTTCTTGCTGATGTACAATTGGGTCAGTTGAATGTGCACGGTTTCTATGATTCCAAAGCACCAGGTTTCCTCTTTCTTGCGTTAGCATGTGTCGATACTGCTCGGCTGTCAGTTTAGCGTTCCTGACAAAACCACCTATCTCCATCAGTCCATACCCCACGCAATTTGAGGTTTCCTCCAGAGCATTGAAACCTTCTATAGTTTCCTGTTCAAAACCAGTCTGTCTAGCCATCACCGTGTCAGTTCTGTTTGACGCATCTGTTGCTAAAGCGTTGCAATCTTCTATTCTTCCATTCAAATCAGCTGCATACTCATAGTGATCGGCTAACTGGATCTGGGCTTGCTCCAACTCGTTTGAAACTCCCAGCACTTGGTTCTCCAGTTTCTTGATTTTCTCTTCAATCCACTTCCATGCTCTGAATGCCAGCTTTGAAAACACAGTACCCATGCAAATCACCAAAACCGCAATTGCAAATGAAAACCATGATGTGTCCTTGGTCTCATTGTCCATGTTTGCGCGATCTGATTGCGCCATCGCCGCAACCGGTCCTGCTGACTCAAGACCCCCAGCAACTCCCATGGCAATACTCATGCGTAAAATGGCTTTGGAAATTCTTTTCAATTGTTGGGAATTCAATCTCCTCTCATCTTGAATTGCATGCTCATTTGCTCCAACCCTTGAAAAGTCTGCAATGAAAACCGGTTCACATTCATATAACAAATAGAACAACCTCTGTCTGCTCAAAGCTTTTGTCCCGATGTCTGCCACGTTGAGACTAGTTGGAACCTGTCGAAGTTTGAAGGTATTGTCAGCTGTCTTCTCCTGTATCCATAACAGTTTTCCCGACAGATGCCTCACCTTACCTGACCCTTGCCTGCTTGCCAATTGCCTTGCTGAGCTTGAGTCGGTAAACTGAAAATGTTCCAACTGTTCATCCAAAACAAAAGCAGCACATGCCTTGATGAATATCCCATCGCAAACGCAGCTAACCAAACTATGAAGTTCACTTTCACATGAGCTAAGTGATACAACTCGTTGACTTCGGCTGCTTGAATACATGAAACATCCATTGATGAAATGTATCCCACATGATGTTGAGCGACGTGTCTGCTTGTTTGCACTCCAATCGGCATCGCTGAAGCTCTCAAGTACCCATCGGTGTTGTCCACCAGAAATAACCTTTCCTTGACCATCTTCAGGAAATGGCAGGTGCAAACCAATGTCCCCCACAGATTTCATGAAGCCTACCATCTTGCGTAGGCGTGCAAGTGAAGTCAAAGTGGGAGCACTCATGTATGACGCCAGCTCCTTTATGGTATACATCAAATCTGGCCTTTCACGGCCTGCATACAGACATAGGCCCACAACTGAGCGGTATCCCTTGGAGTCTTTCTCTGAAAGTCTTTGAGAATTGTCAGGCAACTGGATACTTGCATCGCATGGCACTTTCTGTGATCGTGCCGATCCAAACATCCTCTCAAACAAAGAAACCACTTTGTCCACAGTTGTACCCGGGGCTAAAACTAGGCCATCTCCAACCTCCATGATTTTCCTCCTCAGGAAGGTAATGCTTGATCCTGGGCCTTTCAACTCATCATGACTCACTGAAAATCTCTCTTTCATCTTCTTCAGAAAAACGTTGTTCCAGAAAGATTTCAATCCCACAAAAAGGATATCATCGACATGTATCATGATCGTGGCCTCAGGTGTCCTCGCCAAGCATGGTTGCTCCGGGCAAAACTCGAAATTCATGCTTTCCATCAAGAATGATTTCAAACACAAAAACCACTGTTTTGCTCCAAGACGTTGGCCTGGGAGATTTCTCTTTATGATAAAAGGCTGTCCCTGCAAAACCACACGCACCGGATCATCTTGTTCAACCTGCAGAAAGGCATCACGCACATCCAAGCTTCCCATAACAACATCGTAATCCTCCTTGCATGCTGTTTCACAAATCTTGCTTTTCATTCCAAGATATTTCAACTGCAGAAGGTTTGCTGTATGGGTTCCAGTGGCAGGACTGAAAGTGTCCAATCTTTTCGTTGTTGCAAATTCACGCGCCACCAGTCTGGATCTGCGCATCCATCTTTTCCTTTCACCTTCACCTTCTCCATAAGACTTCAAACGCCAATCCCTGACCATCTTTGTAGTCAAAGAACCTGTGATTTCGCCTTGGAACTCGAATTGTGGCACCAAGACTTGCATGTTGCACAATCGCTCAATCTCAACCTTGTCTGCAAGGTCGTCAATCCATTTTTCTGGAATGCCAGGCGCTGGTTGATCCACTGGAGCGTCTGACCACAAATACTCTGGAATTCCAGTCAGCACAACGCCATCTTCACCAACCCAGTCTTCATCCTCTTCAGCTGATTGTTCAAGATTCAAATCTGTCTCATAATCATCCATAGTGAAGTACTCTTTGTAGGCAATCTTGACAGCACACAATCTCTGCTCGTATTCAGCTTGTAACCTGGCAATGCGCTGTCTCTTTGATTCATCCAAACGTTGCCTCTTTGAAGAGTCCTCATCTGAGGGTTCTGCTGCTCGAGATGTTGCTGGCTCTCGAGGGCTTTCAACTTCGATGTAATCCCTGGGCGGTGTCACCGGTACTGCAAGACCTGGATCCCCTGACATATCATCTCCAGTATTGGTCAAAGGTGGATTCTCTGCTGTCACATGGATTGGTCCACTAGGTAATGCAGGACCATCATCATCCACAACCTGCATACCTTCCAGTTCACCTGCAACTCCACCAAGTTTCTCTCGCAAAGCCAAACTGAGTGGGTCATTGGCTGACATGTGCAACTGCTCCTCCTGCGCTTTCTGTTCATCAATTGCATATTGAATCACTGCTTCAGCATCTTTGTCGTGCAATGCACTTTCTTCAATTGGTCCCAGAGGCACCTCAAACGCAACTGACTTCGGCACTGGTTTTCTCATAGTTGGCAAGATTCTTGCTCCAAACCCAGCTTTGTACTGCCATGAAAAACACCGACAATGCAAATAATACGCCCTGTGACTTCTCCATTCAGTGTTGATTCTGCGCACGCTTCTCGTAAGGAGAATTGATTGTCCATCAAATGCCACATAGCTGTTTTGAATGTCAGCTTTCCCAAGAAATAACATCCTCTTCCATTTGGCAGTCGCTTTTGTGGTTGGAATCACATAGCCAAAAATTGGCTCCCCAAACTCGCACAACTCACCAGCATATGTACGACCAAAAGCCAGTTCATAAGGTGTGGCACCTCTGATAACTGAAAACCTTGAAATAAGCCATGCTGAATGTCTCAAGGCCCAACTCCAAATTGCGCTCGATGTCTCCAGCTGAATTCCAAGTCTTCCATGAACATGGTGCATCAACGTACATGCCAAAGCTCTGACTCTGCCAACAGCATTCTCTGCAAGGCTGTTGCCACCTTTGTCATATGCCACAGAGCTACTTTCACGTGTCTTAAGGCCCATGCCTTGACGTGTCTTCAGCACCAAGCGCTTCAATTGCAGTATTGAAGGTTCATTGTCGCAATGCAAAATCACTTCTGAATGCCCTAACATTTGCACAAACTTGATGATCTCCCTGTTTGCATGATCCAGCTGAGATTTCCCTTCCAAAGGGATGCATGACACAAATCCTGTATGGCTGTCCACCACTACCAGTGCAGTTATTGTATCGGGATTGCCTGAATCACCAGCCTGACCATCAGATTTTGTGAAGAAGTAGTCAAAGGATATGGTGGGCACTGCTCCTGCATGCGACTCACCTGAACGTTCATGGCGATCAGAACGTGCCCTGTGCGCAAGACATGAAGGGCACCACTGCTTGTATGGCACATGTGTCAACCTATGTTGTGACTGCTCATACTCACTAGGCACTTCTGCAGAAACTGGTGAAAGTGGATGTCGTTCCTGCTGTTCAAATGCCTCTTTTGCTTCCGCCATCACTGATTCCAACTCAAGTTTCTTTGAATG